ACATGTACTGAACACAAGAAATCCCCTTTGGAATAAGACGGATTTAAGTAGAAGCAGGAAGCAGCTTCTTAGCACCTTATTACATTTGAAGCCATCTCTGCTCTATATGAAACACAGAACACAGAATCAGGCATGCCAAATACTGCAACTATTCTCTTAACTGGTTTACTATAAGATGTTTGTTTCTCTTCAATATCAGCCTACTCTAATTTTGATACAGTGCACATACACACATTAGTCATGAGGCTAAGCTACAGAAATATACATGTAATGTACAGTACATTTACATACACAAAGGCAAAAAAAAATAATGTAAACATAAACTGAATAAATGTATCTTGCAATGTTTGAGCGGTGTTAGGTTCAGTTACAGTAGGCCCAACTGATAACAAAATTCTTAAAGAAATATAAGCATATATTTAAATTAAGTTCTGGAAGTTTAAAATTATGCATTGAATGTCATCTAGATCTAACATTTCCCTTTTGGGATATGTAAAAATATTAGACTTGTTTCCTTTTCAAACATGCAATATTAAATAGCCTGCAGTGCTTAGAGAGGTAAAAATATCAATTAAGCATAGTATCTTTCCATAATTATCTGTATCAGATGTGCAAACCTGATACCCCATCAATGAGTTTGGCTGCCATATCTGCTAGGTGGACTGCAAACAGGACAGTTTGTCCTCGTTTAGCGACTGTAATTCATTCTGGCAAAATGGTGACTAAGCCAACTACATGACTGAGAAAGAGAGAGACGCTGCAAAGATTGCTGCTTGCTGCCGTCTCATTTAGATAAAGCTCTCTTATGCAGCAACGCCAGTGGTATTCTCACTCTGTACACTGCTGTCCAGTGCACCAATTTGGGCATAAGTGCATGCACTGGTCAGAAAATGATGTTTTTACTATTGTTTGCTACTGTCATATTTACGAACTATTGCTAACTGAGGTAGTCGCTAAACGAGGACTGGCTGTAACTTGATCAACCTCCACTTTTTGCTGCTTCTTAGATCAACACAAATGCCAGGAAAAGGGAGAAGCAAACTATTAATTTTATGGAAAGCAACATATATAGCTGACTGTATTTTGCTTTGTGGGACCTAAGCAGCATAAGCTTGACCAACATAGGCTCTAGTCTAGTAATAGAATGTGATTGTGATCTACAAAGTTAGATTTCCTTCCACAGCTTAGTACTTGCATTCAATTATGCAAAACAAATTTAACTTACTCTGCGTTCATCAACTGATTTGGCTGCAGCAATCATTCCTTCTAAACATTTTGAGATTATTGGAATAACTTTCCGCTCAGAATCTGCAAATCCTTTATAACATTCACTAAGTTTGATGGTTCGTCGTTCATCCATTTCTTGAAGGTGCTAAGTAATAAAGAATAGCCTGAACATCTTTATAGTAATATTCCAAAGACACTAGAACATTGTCTTCCTTATAATTATCAATTTTACAATTTGCAGCCTTTTAACCAAGTATTAGATAATTTGAACTAAATATGTATTATCTGTGAGTCATTAGTTCACTATTCCCTAAACTTTGTTCATTTCTTAAAAAGATATTTACATTTCTGAAATGAACATAAGTACACAACTAATGTCCTTCTAAAATCAATTAGAGTTGGCAAGTATTATCTATAGTTATCAATAATTAAAGTCATAATTTGTATTCCACATGCAACCTAAGACTGCTGTAATAAAAAGAAGAAAGAATAACTTAAAGACTAACACATTTATTACAGAATACACTCTGGGTCCATAAAGGTTTATGCTATAATTAACTAGTTAGTCTTCTGCTGGTTTCTAAAACATTTTCAGATCCCAGAAATAACAAATAGGTGGGCATTCTTCACTTTTAGAATGATATATTATGTTTAAATAACAAGACAGAATCTAGAAGGGAGTGCTTGATAGAAGGAACATTATATATGTCTGTGTGTGTACGTATTTTAGAGAGAGAGAACCCAGTTACCTCAAGTTCTCATTTGAAAATGTTAAGGTACTTACAGAAATTACCTTCACACTCTTCAATAACCAAATTCATTTAGATGAAAAACTTACCTTATATATTTGAGGAATGACAATATAGAAATGCTTGTGCTGTTCACCATTGAAATTCTGCAACTGTGCAGCATATTCGTTTTTATTTTCATCAGCCATATGTGTACGCAGGTTTAACTGCTGCTTTGCCTAAAAAAAAGGAGACAGATCAATAAAAATTTTAAATCATTTTTAAAAGAAATTCTTACTTAGCAGCATGCTCATCATCTTTCATTCCCACTGATGTCTTAGCGTCCAACATATCCTTTCATTAACATTTGTAAATTATAGAAACTACTTCTCAACTAGCAAGTCAACCTTTAGAAAAAAGCTTTTGATTTTAACTGGTAGTCTTTTTCGGCACAAATTCCAGCACAAATTACGGCACTATCTCTGGGCTACTTTCAACTAATGCATTTACAAAGGAGATTAAACAGAAGGTGAGGCTACCTTTCGGGACATTTGCAGCAAGCCTAAATGTCATCAAAATGACATAAATGTATGTTCTGGTGCCTCGACACAAGCTTTGCTCCTTACGTGCTTACGTGCAACGTTGTAATACGAATACCAAAAGAGCGGAGTTAGTGCCATGATGTATGTTTTGTTATCTGATCTTCTCTGTCCCTCTGCAGAAGCTTATGCTGACTTACCAAGGAAACAACATTGTACAAATCTACTAGTTTTAAGAGGAAACAGACACAACGATAATACATAAGGCACAGATAGATACAAAGAATGGGAGAAATCCCACTAACACAAGCAGAAAAGCATATTCCTACAACAGAAGCTGATGCCTATAGCGATGAGTTTTTATAAGGCAAAACAATTAGTTTTTATTTGAGAATAAAGCTCTGCAACAAATGGTATTAAAATCACTAACTGTAACTCTAATTAGGAACATGACGCATCAATATATAAAAAACAAACTTTATCATCTCATGAGAGGTTATTGAAACTTAGATAAAAGTAGAGAATGCATAAGATCTGTTATTAAAAATGTTATACCATTTCTTATCATAATCATAACAACAATATTATGTAGAAGAGAATACAAGTAGATATTGTATTCTGTAGACTGGATATAGTCTCTTAACATTATTTTTTATTTAATATATTAAAGCCTTTATACTGAGTGTTATCCATACTTCTTTTGTATTTAAAATAAATCTCTCTCTTAAATGTAAAGATGAAAAAAATAGTTACGTAAGGAAGCTTCAGGGGAATGATTAAGCATTGGCTTGCTGTGAAATCTGAATCAGCAAACTGGTTTAGATAAATGCGCAGAAGACTGAATTGTGGCTTTCAATCTTCATCTGAAATATTTGCCCAAGCCACAATTTACTGCTTTGGATTTATAAGAACAGTGTGTAGCTTGATCAATGAGAAAATGTTCTGTTATGCCAAGAGTGGCTAGAGCTGAAATTGCATTTCAAAATGTTTTGTGTATGACACGACACAGAAGGTCCTGCCACATGTGTGGAAACTGCTCTTTCAAAGGTGAATTGGGCTGTTTCAAGCATTCACAGCAGTTTTACCAACAAAATGGGACATTTCATGAAATTCGGCATTCAGAACATTTCAAAATGAAATTTTTACACACTACTAGGCTGGAGTTTAAACACAGAATTTACTCCTAAACTTTCAACCCATAATTTGAAAAATCAAAATATGTGATGACTGAAATTCTGCTAATTCAACACACTGATATCAACATTAGATTATCAAAATATTGTGCTTTTTCAGAAAATAACATTTCCAAATATAGCCATATGAACTATTATTTTCCAATAACAATATCTTACTTTTTCAACATCTGCTTTAGTAGCATTGGTATCATTGTCCAGTCTCTCATAACACTGCTGTGCCTTTTCTGCTTCTTTGCACTCTCTTTCAAATTTCTTTTTGCTCTACAATGCAATGACATAGTTACAAATCAATTCAAATTACCACAGTGCTTGTACTATTCTCACAGTCACAACTCAGATCCAAACTATTTTAAGATGAAAAGAAAACTATTCTGCAGATGTTATTCTACACACATTCCCTTTTACCAGTGGCCATTTCATTTTGTACTTGTTCAATTCCTAGATTTGAAAACTCCCCACTTCCTCTATCCCCACAACTGTGTATTCATCCAATGCTAGTAATAAAAGAACATAAAGATTAGCAAAGCTAACTCTTCTCTATTGCATGCCCCACTATTTTGGGAAGTTTTATTCATTAAGGATCCCTTTAATGTGCAAATATAGTTAGGAACAATCATTTAACCCTGAATAAGCCCCCTCCTCTAAGTGAACAGTATCATGGCTGGTCCCATATATGAAAGTATTTGGTCTCTCCATTTCTCTGAAAAAAATATCTCACTCTCAGTACATGACATAAACCATATTATTACAACTAATAGTATGAGGCTAAGAACAGTATTTTATTTATACACACAAACACACTGATTAAGAATAGATAAACAACTAGTCTGAACAGCCTAGTGGTGTTTACATTCTGGAAAGCTCATATACAGCATAGAAATGACCCCTACCTCTGAGATATAGCATATCAACTGTAAAGATTATTAATAGAATTTTTATGGAACACTTTGTATACTAGAGATCAGCACTGTATAAATATTAGGGTTACCGTTATCATTACTTGGCCCCTACAGAATATAGTCTTCCAGAAAGACATGGGTCAGCCCAGTAAAAATGATTTGATGGAATGGAATGAAAAGGAAATTTGGATCATATAACTTGGCCTATGAAGATATAGGCCAGAGAAACTGACAACTCCTCTATTGCATTTTTGAGACTTCAACAATAGTTGGATATTTCGCATTTCTTGCAATCCAATGCATACTACTCTGAAGTAATCCCACTAAATTCAATTACTCTTATTTCCAGGGAAGCAAACATACAGGACTGCAGCCTTAGTTATACTTAAGTTCTACTAATTTAAAATGTCTTTTTTTTTTGCCTAAAATAGTTCTCTATTTAACATTATGTAACCCCATCAACTTCCTTTAATTACACTACTATACTGTACAATACTTTGAGGCTAATTCATAAAAAATAATCTAAGGTAATTCAAAAGAGTATAAATTAACAGGGGAGGATATGATTCCCAAGATTTCAATAAAAGTAAGCCTCTGGCCTACCAAAATAAATTCCTACTTAAGAACCACAAGGCTAGGCAGTATTTCAATACATTTTAATACAGCTGAAATATAGTCTGTAAATCTTTCAAAGTCATATTCCTGCAGATACTAGTTACTGAGAAATTAGCACTGTAATGATCTAACAAACATAATAATCTATCTTGGCTGTTGAACAATGAAAGCACTGTGATGGCTCAGTGATAACCAAGTTAACTCATTATTTCTTCACTCTGGCATCAGTCATCCATAAAACTGTGCAACTCTAAGGAAACCAGAAAAGGAATAAAAGAAAACTCACATTATCCATCTGCTTCCAACACATGTCAAGATACTGTTGTGCTTTTCGGCCCTCTTGAAGGTGCTGGAAGATAATAAACAAGAGGTTTTATAAACCCCATCTTGCTGTTAAACTGTTCAGCTTAATATCACAAAATGATACATATAAAAAGGCAAAAAAGAATGCCAAACAAGAATGTAAATCATGACAGAAGCATCATTATTTTAACAACATTATTAATACGTATTTACCCATTGTTTTTTCTTCCAAAGGTGGAAAATATACTACCTTTTATACAGATGCAATGGAAGGAATTATAACTTATGCAATTATATGAATTATATAATTGGATGGATTGCAGAGCACTGACAT